TTGGAATTGTTCGAGGAAAAAACGGAGTCTTGAGAAAACCCACGAGTTTGGGAAGCGATTGATGATGACAATCTAGCTTGTGACCTCAAAATGGCTTGTTTAGCAATGTTTCTCCACATAGGGAAGGATTGGGAAACTGGGTTTCGATGAGAAATTAAGGGTTTATGAAATGGAATCAAATGATCGAATACGTTACTATGATTTGACAAGAACACTGGGGTTTGGGCACTGGACATCAATCGAACTTAAAATCGATAACCCGGAGCAAAAACAACACCGGATTGAAGAAATTCGAGCGCATGAGATACAGAATACAGGGCAAAATCGGCTAATTGGGAAGACTTTTTCATAGAGAGGAAGAAACCTATTGGTAAGCAAAGAGTACACGAAGCCGCCTTAAACCCTTCCTTAAAAACCCTCTCTGTTTTTTTTTTTCTTTTTCTCCGTTTCCATTTTTGTCCAAAAATATTAAAAAATTAAAAAATTAAACCCTAAATTTTCTGCACCGCAATTCGACAAACCCGGGTAAGAGGATCTTGCCCGACCCGGAAAATTACGGCCCGTTAGTAATTTAACAAGCCCAGTTAGTTAGAATTCATTTTCTTCTAATTATTTGACCATTTCAAACATACTTATCTTTTAGTGGAACCCAATTACAATCCAAATATAAAATCATGCACTAGATCACAAGATTCTTTATTTTTTGCATAATATTCACTTGGAATTTTTCTTATTTCAACAATGTTACCTGCATCTAATACTAATTTTACTCATAAATTATTTTATTATAATGAAACTTGGACAAAAATCTGATTTTATTGGTACGCATCGATTAGTGTGGTTTAGGTGACTCAACACCTGATTATTTTCTGTCCGAATTTGATATTTTTCTCCTCTGTAGTTCTAATATATTACAATTTAGCCCCTTTACTTCTGTCAGTGACGTAAAAAGCCCCATTTTTGTTTCCTTTCTGGGGAATGAAGTTGCAGAATTGTATGTATTAGG